ACTGCTGCCCTGTTATCTGTGGTTTCACTTTTCACAGTTTCAATTATCTACGGTCAACCACAGTCTGAAAATACTACACAGAAATTTTCAAAAATAAACAATTCTTAAGTTTTAAACTATATGCCATTCTAAGTAGCAGGATGACATCTTGCTCTGGTCTGCTCTGTCCAGCCCAGAACCAAATCATCTCTTTGTCTAGTACATCCATGTCATAGATTGTTAGTCCCTGGCTGTCTCAATGGTCAGATCTACTATAACCGTATTACAGTGCTGTGTTCAAGTAAACCTATGTTATTCAATAAAGGCCCCAAAGCACAAAAGTAGTGCTGTTGCCAATTCAGACTTACCAAAGAGAAGCTGTAAAATGCTTCCTTCAAGTGAAGAGATAAAAGTTCTCAAATCAATAAGCAAAAATAGTCATATAGAAAAGGTGCTAAAATCTGTAGTATATTCTGAAAGGGACCACATTTATGTAACTTTTATTACAGCATATATAGTTGTTCTACTTCATTATTAGTTATTGTTGTCAGTTCTCACTGTGTCTAATTTATAAACTATTGTAGGTACGTATGTTAGGAAAAGAACACAGGAGCCGGCACTGTGGCCTAATGGGTAAAGCCGCCACCTGCAATGCTGGCATCCCTTATGGGTGCTGGTTAGAGTCCCAGCCGCTCCACTTCCGATCCGGCTCTCTGCGATGGCTTGGGAAAGCAGTAGAAGATGGCCCAAGCCCTTGGGACCCTGCACACGTGTGGGAGACCCAGAAGAAGCTCCTGGCTCCTGGCTTTGGATCAGCAGTTCCAGCTGTTGCAGCCATCTGGGGAGTAAACCATCAAATGAAAGACCCCTCTCTGTCTCTGCCTCTCTGTAACCCTGCCTTTCAAATAAATAAATATTTTTTTTAAAAAAGGAAAATAACATAATAAATGAGTCTACAGGGTTAACTACTTTTGGTGGTTTCAGGCATCTACTGGAGGAACTATCCTCTGCTGACAGGTTGGACTACTATATCCCAAGAGGGCAAAGTTTGGGCCCACAGAATACAATGAACAAAGAACATGTCAGAGAGCAGAATCAATGCTAACCATGGAATTTATTCTACCAACAGGGCAGTGGGCTTCTGTAATTCCTGCCCAGGATCATGCTGTTGCTACGGAACACTAACTGCTGTCCATCTCCCATTCTTCCTTTTTTGAGATTTAACTGTGGTTGTTCCACTGTCGTTCTGTATTACATGTATAGGCATGGAGTACAGCATTTGTTTTATGTTCCTGGACCACAAAAAGCCACATCCTATTGTGATAGAATTGTGCATCACCAGACATCCTGTGTTTTGAGCTGATGAAGAAAGTGTTAAATAAAAATTGCAGAGGCCATTGTTTTGGACTAAGCTCCTGCAACCAGGCCCCAACAGATTAGGCTAAAATAACGGAGTCACTCATGCCAAAGTTCTATGTCACTAAACTGAAACTAATCCAGTGTATTTGACTTCTGAGAAATCAGAATTTGATAACAACTGAATTTCCCAAAGAGGTCAATTGCAGTTAACATAATGAAGTTCCCTCTGCCTTAACCCTTCAGCAAAAGGGTAACCTAAAGCAACCTGATGTTAACCAATCATTAATTTTTTTTCTATTTTTCCATCTCCCTGACCACTTTACAAAGAAAGTAACTTGGAAATGACTTTTGTTTTCTTGCTTTTGCTTTCTTCAGCCCTGTTTTATGACTTTAAAAACCTCTCTTCTCCTCAGTTAATTGGAACATGTATTCTGTTTTTAAAAAATATTTATTTATTTGAAAGGCAGAAATATGGAGAGAGAAGCAGAGAAGGAGAGAGAATGAGAGAGCAAGTGAGCTCTTCCATCTGCTGGCTCACTCCCCAAATGGCCACAACAGCCAGGGCTGGGCCTGGCAGAAGCTTCCTCTGGGTCTCCCACCTGGGTGCAGAGGCCCAAGGACTTGGGCCATCTTCTACTGCTTTCTCAGGCTGTAGCAGAGAGCTGGATTGGAAGAGGAGCAGCCAGGATTAGAACCGGCACCCATATGGGATGCCAGCACTGCATGTAGAGGCTTAACCTTCTTTGCCACTGTGCTGGGCCCTATATTCTGTTTTGTGGTGTGCAGTATTACCTGATTCTGGAATTGAAAATAAAGCCAGGGAAAATAAAGCCGATGCGTGGCTCACTTGGTTAATCCTCCGCCTACGGCGCTGGCATCCCATATGGACACCGGATTCTGTCCCAGTTGCTCCTCTTCCAGTCCAGCTCTCTGCTGTGGCCTGGGAGGGCAGTGGAGGATGGCCCAAGTGCTTGGGCCCTGCACCAGCATGGGAGACCTGGGAGAAGCACCTGGCTCCTGGCTTCGGATTGGCGCAGTGCCACCGGCTGTAGCGGCCATTTGGGGAGTGAACCAGTGGAAGGAAGACCTTTCTGTCTCTTTCTCTCACTGTCTATAACTCTACCTGTCAAATAAATTTAAAAAAAATTAAAAAGAGAAAGAAAATAAAGCCAAATAAATCTAGTTTAATCTTTAAACCAGATTGTCCTTAGACACAACTGAATGAGAAGTTAACTTTTTCCTTAGGGAGGGAGTATGTTATCCTGTGAAGGACACAAAGATTTTTAGGTGAACAGAACAGATCATAGCAGTAACTACTGTTTGTACCACTATGTTCACCCTTTCCTTTTCATTGTGAGCACAAGGCAACACAAGGGGAAATTAAGTTTCCAGAATCACTATTATTAGGCATTCTTGCCAGTGGAATGGGATCTGAATTGATGTGGGCAATTTCCACTTTACTTTCTTTTTTTTTTTTATTTTTTTTTTATTTTTTGACAGGCAGAGTGGACAGTGAGAGAGAGAGACAGAGAGAAAGAAAGGTCTTCCTTTGCCGTTGGTTCACCCTCCAATGGCCGCTGCGGCCGGCGCACCGCGCTGATCCGATGGCAGGAGCCAGGAGCCAGGTGCTTTTTCCTGGGCCTTCCATGGGGGGGGCAGGGGCCCAGTGCCCTGGGGCCATCCTCCCACTGGACTCCCGGGGCACAACAGAAAAGCGGGCCTGGGAAAGAGGGGGACACCGGGACAGAAAACCGGGGCCCTGCACCGGGAAAAAATAGAACCCGGTGTGCCGGCGCCGCTAGGCGGAGGATTAGCCTAGTGAGCCACGGCGCCGGCCACTTTACTTTCTTAAAAGGAATTTATTCTGGACTTTCTTTTTCTCCTTTGCAATAGAGGAAATATGCCAATTATCACATCTCGAGATGGCAAAAAGTTCAAAGGTTTGAACTTTGTAGGCAAGACTGTAAGACATTGCACTCTTAGATACTTCTGGTAGGAGGGCAAAATGATAGCATCCCTATCAAGTGAAACTTTACAATATATATCACAATTTTAAGTATGTCTCCTTTGAGTCATTTCTGGGAATGTGTTTTGCTGGTACATAATTCTATATAAAATGATGTACAGGAAAAGTTATTCATTGCAGGAGTGGCTGTTTGTTCTGGCAGTTAGAATGCTCAGATCCCATCCTGGAGTGCCTGGGCTCCATCCATGCTCTGCTCCTGGCAATGCAGACTCTGGGAGGCAGCAGTGATGTCTCAAGTGGTTGGGTTCCTGTCATCCATACAGGAAAGTCTGGACTGTGTTCCTGGCTCCTGGCTTTGGCTGGAAACGGGAGTTTACCCTGTGTCTCTCCCTTTCTTAAAAACAATAACAATAACTACAATTATAATGTCTCACTCCCTAGACTTAAATGTCCTATAAGGATTAAGTAAATTTTGGCATACCTTCACTAGGTAGTACTCTCCACCTCTAAAACGAATGACTTTTAAGATGGGACTTAGGCCAGCGCCATGGCTCAATAGGCTAATCCTCCGCCTGCGGCGCCGGCACACTAGGTTCTAGTCTTGGTCGGGGCGCCAGATTCTGTCCCGGTTGCTCCACTTCTAGTCCAGCTCTCTGTTGTGGCCCGGGAGTGCAGTGGAGGATGGCCCAAGTCCTTGGGCCCTGCACTTGCATGGGAGACCAGGAGAAGCACCTGGCTCCTGGCTTCAGATCAGCGCGGTGCGCCCGCAGCGCGCCAGCTACAGTGGCCATTGGGGGGATGAACCAATGGCAAAGGAAGACCTTTCTCTCTGTCTCTCTCTCTCACTGTCCACTCTGCCTGTCCAAATAATAAAAAAAAGACTGGACTTAAATGGTAAGATCGCCAGGAAAAGTGAAAAATTCAAGAGCAGAACAATGAAGCAATGTGCTTCTCATTGTAAAAGGAAGGAGATACACAGATTTCTACTTCTTTCAGAAATTCTCTAGGGATTTATAGAATATATATATATATATATATAAAATACACATTATATAATACATGTTTTATATAATACATATATATAGAATATATATACACACATATATAAGATACATGAGTGATGAATGCAATCACCTATAAAGGGCGAGTGAACATATAATTTGTCACTCAGATGGAGTCGTTTCTAGAATGAAAAGAGGTGTTAATAAATACCTCAGGACACCAGACTAAAAATGGTATTGTCCTGGACACATGGGATGTATGATCAAACATTAAAAAAGATACCTGGTGTGTGTGTGGGGGTGGGTGGGACGCGGACATTTTTTATCTTATTTTTAAAAAGCACTGGTCTGTGGTGAATTGGAAATAAACAAAAAACTCGCCCTTTACCACACGTAGTTTCAGCGCTGCCTTAACGAACGAAGAATAAACCATAAACGTGAAACACGGACCTTAGCGCAAACGCAGTAGTTGTACGTACCGAGCCCTTACTGGAGCTGCACAAGCGACACACTCCCTTCAAGTTCATCAGCCAATCCCAAGTCGGAGCGTGAGAGCCAGCGCCTGTGGGAGAGGCCAGGGCGGGCCTGGGACGTGAGGAGTGAAGCGCCTTGTCATTCAACCCGGAGGGCGGAGGTAGCTCAGGTCCCGCCCCACCCACTGACGCTCTGGCCCGCGTAGGGGCTACTCTGTGGTATCCTTGGTTCTCTCTAGCCCCACTCCGGAGGACCATACTCGTTTTCTTTGAGGCTGTGAGGGGCCCCCTCAGCCACGGCTGAGGTGGAAGAAAGATGGCGGCAGCCGTGCGACAGGATTTGGCCCAGCTCATGAATTCGAGCGGCTCTCATAAAGATCTGGCGGGCAAGTGAGTGTTTCCCGAGAGCAAGAGAGTGGGGAAGAGAGTGGGGAAGGAAGCCATAGACTGGTTCTCCTTGGGCTGACCGCCACCCTCGTGTTCGAGGCCTGACGACCGAGGGGGCGGGCCTGAGAGCGGCTGGGGCGGTGAGTGTTGCGGGGACCGGACCTTGTGCAGAGGCTCAGGAGGCCAGGGGCGCGGGGTGACTGTCAGCGTGTCCAGTCCTCCGTGGCGTCCTTCCTGGTCCCTCTGCATTTGGGAAGCGCGGTCAGCGGGACGACTGCTCCCCGGGCCTCCGCACGCTTCCCTGGTGCTCTTTCCCGTAGCGGCCTGGCCGCTCACCCCCCGGGCTGGCTCTGGATCTCTTTTAGAATGAGGGAAATTTCTCTGCTGGCGTCTCGATGCGGAGTTTTCCGGGGCAGATGGGCTCTCGGGGTTCACGGGGACGGAGGAGGCATGGCCGCTGCCCTGTGGTCCGGAGCCACTCAGACCATCTTTGCTGGGTCCATGTGTGTTGGGTGCTCTCCTCGCCAGCAGCCTGAGGAAGGCGGAGTGTTCTGCCATCGTGGCTTAGGATGTGCAGAGTATTGATCTTTGCAGGAATCTGGATTGTGTAGGCATTTCGTCGAAGTGTTTGTAGACTACATAGGTTCACCGCCTGTTAGAATGTGTGACCCGTGCTTGTCCCGCAGGCGATTGCTCAGCAGTGTTAGGTGTAGGTAGGCGCCTGTCGCCTCTGCTGCCTTTGCAGATTTGACAGCACTGCTCGTTTGTAAGGAACATGCTTTCTGTTTATATAAATAGGCTTCTCAAGTCGAACCAAATATTTACATCCTGACAGCTGAGATCACCTGCTTTGACCTAGGCATTGACATTGCTACTTTTTTTTTTTTTTTTTTTTACTGTAGGCTGTGCTGCCTTTTTTTCTGGTGGTAAATGTAATCAACTTATGTGGGTGAGCAGGACAGCTGTATATCGCAGCTTTACCTACTTTGCTGCATTTCTCGCTGAGGGAAATGGGGCTAATAAAAGGACTTATTCTTGTTTGAGTTTGCCTGAGGACAAAAATGAATATGTGCATATACTCATATATGAGGGAACATGGAATTTGTGGGAAAATGAAATTATGGATTTATTTTGGTGCAGAAGTTCCTGAGAGAAGAACTTTTTAGTATGTGGAAACTGTGTATTGTGAAAAGACTGCATGGGTTTCTTTTTTTTTTTTTTTTTTTAATTATTTATTTGGAAATCAGTTACAAAGAGAAAGGGAGAGACAGAGGGAGAGAGATATTCCATCCGCTCGTTCACTCCTTAAGTGGCCGCAATGGCCAGAGCTGGACCGTTCTGAAGCCAGGAGCCAGGAACTTCATCACCCATGGGGGCAGGTGCCCAAGCACTTGAGCCATCTTCTACTGCTTTCCCAGGCGCATTAGCAGGAATCTGGATCAGAAGTGGAGCAGCCAGGACTCAAACCAGCACCCACATGGGATGCCAGCACTATAGGCAGCGGGTTTATTTGCTATGCTACAGTGCAGGCCCCAAGACTGCATGGATTTCAAAAAAATTTTTGCACTCAGATAAACTCGTATTTTTAATTCTATTTTTCATGAGCCTTTTGAAGTACCTTCATATCTACTTATTATACTTTTATCACCTAGAACAGTACCTGACACAGAGAAAGTGCCATCGAATTGTTGTTACCACTGTTAAGTAATCAGTAAAAATACACATGGACTTTTCCAAGGGTTGTAATAAGCTGAATACATCTTCATGACTAATTCCCTTTTGCGTGTAATTTTTATAAATTTGGATGAAAGTAAAGCAGCTTATAATTCCCCCTGTGCTTGCTTTAGTTTTTATTTTGTTGACTAAAAATAAGTGCAGCGGTTATTAGAAGACATAGAGCTTTCTGAGCACTTGTGTAGCTCTGAAACTTCCGCTCAGTATTTGCTCCCTCAGTTCAGAACTGGAGCTAAACAGCAGAACCTGTTTTATAAGGTGCTTCAGTTATCTGTTTTCATGTAACAAATGAAAAAGTTAGTGGTGTTAATCAACTTACTACTTCTCAGGATTCTGTGTGTTGACTGGGCTGTTTGGCTGGTCTTGTCTGGACTTAGACATAACCGGCAGCTCAGCTGGGGTTGGCCCCATACATATCTGGCTGTTGGCTAGATCTTGCTCTCTGCACGTATTCTCTCAGTCAGTAATTTAGGGCTTTCTTTTATGGCTCTGAGAGTGTTTGAAGAGGCTGTGAATAGAAGCCATAAAATCTTAAGGCTTATCTGGGTAGTTTTGCAGTACTGGTCAAAGTAAGTCACAAGACAGTCTACATTCCCAAGGAGGGGAAATGGAGTCTACCACTACCTCTTTTTTTCCCTTAATTGATTAATATACTTATATTCATCTTATTTGAAAAGCAGAGACAGAGAGATTTTTTTTTTAAAGATTTATTTTTGGCCGGCGCTGTGGCTCAATAGGCTAATCCTCCGCCTGCGGCACCGGCACACTGGGTTCTAGTCCCGGTCGGGGTGCCAGATTCTGTCCCGGTTGCTCTTCTTCTTGTCCAGCTCTCTGCTGTGGCCCAGAAAGGCAGTGGAGGATGGCCCAAGTGCTTGGGCCCTGCACCCGCATGGGAGACCAGAAGCATCTGGCTCCTGGCTTCGGATCAGCGCGGTGCGCCGCCGCAGTGGCCATTGGAGGGTGAACCAATGGAAAAGGAAGACCTTTCTCTCTGTCTCTCTCTCTCACTGTCCACTCTGCCTGTAAAAAAAAAAAAAAAAAAAAGATTTATTTTTGAGAGGCAGAGTTAGAGAGATTGAGAGATCTCCATTCGCTGGTTCACTCCCCAAATGGCCACAACAGCCTGAGCTGGGCCAGGATGAAGCCAGGACCTCCATCCAGGTCTCCCACGTGGATATAGGGGCTCAAGGACTTGTGCCATCCTCCACTGTTTTCCCAGGTGCATTAGCAGGGAGCTGCATTGGAATTGGAGCAGCTGGTGCTCTACTGGTATCCATATGGAATGCTGGCTTTGTAGGTTGCTTAACCCTTATGTTTCTATTTGCTGATTCACTTTCCAAACGCCTGCAATAGCCAGGGCTGGTCCAGACTGAAGCCGAAGTCAGGAGCCCAAAATTCCAGTCAGGTCTCCCACATAGGTGGCAGGGACTCAAGTACTTGAGCCATCATCTGCTGCCTCTCAGGATGTGCAGGAGCAGAAAACTGTGTTGGAAGTGGAGTAGCTGGGACTCAGGGCTCACACCAGGCACTCTGCTATGGGTTGCAGGCTTCCCAAGCTGTGACTTCTGCCATTGGGCTAAATACGTGCCTCCATACCACTACCTTTTTAAGAGCAAAAGTTCACATTGTAAAGGGCCACGGACAGAGGAAGGTATGAGTCACTGGGAGCCATTACTTTAACATTGAACTATATGGGCTTATTGTGGAGATGACATGAAATAATGTGGTAACTGAGCCAGTGCCACCTTAGGGAGCAACTCCTATGGAACTGCTTTCTGAAACAAGTCTTGGCCTTACCCTTAGCTGTATTGGGTAACAATGTGTCAGGATATTTATCCTCATAACAAAACAGTTCTACCAGCTATATGCTTTATGAAAGAAATACTCTTGAACTGTATCAGCGATTTTAGGGTTTAAGAGCTGTGTACAAAGCATTCCATATTAAAGAATGATGGTGTACACTGGTTTCCAAAATAGTGATACTGTGTGTTCCTAACAGTTAGCAAGGTATCTGTAACAGTCATAGTTCTTTTTTTTTTTCTTTTTAAGATTTTATTTCTTTATTTGAGAGGCAGAGTTACAGACAGAGGGAAAGACAGAGAGAAAGGTCTTCCATCTGCTAGTTTACTCTCCAAATGGCCACGGTGGCCAGAGCTTGGCAGATCTGAAGCCAGGAGCCAGGAGCTTCTTCCACATCTTCCACATGGGCACGGGCACAAAGGCCAAAGCACTTGGGCCATATTCCACTGCTTTCCCAGGCCATAAGCAGGGAGCTGGATCAGAAGAGGAGCACCCACATGGGATGCTGGGACTGCAGGTGAAGGCTTCGGCTACTATACCACGGCACCGGCCCATGCAGTCATTGTTCAATAAATGTTGAATCACTGAATAGCTAGAAAGGGGCAGAGCTTGTATTTGAATCTAGAGTTGTCTTTTAAAGAACTTATTTTTTTATCTTAGTAACTGAGTTACAGATGCTTTCCTATAGAATCAACTCAACTGCCTAAGGTAGATATAAGAAATTAGACATATGAGAAGATTTTTTGCAGATTTTATAGGATGCTTTTTCTTTATTTTTAATTTAAAATTTTTTAAAACAGATATATTTATTGATTTGAAAGGCAGAGTTACAAAAAGAGAGGGAAAGACAGAGTGAGACGGATCTTCCATCTGTTGGTTTACTCCTCAAATGGCTGTAATAGCCAGAGCTGGTCCAGCTGAAGAAGGATGCAGGAACTCCATCTGGGCCTCCCAAGTGGGTAGCAGGGGTCCAGGCACTTGGACCATCTTCAGCTGGGTTCCCAGGTATATTAGTAGGGAGCTGGATCAGAAGTGGAGCAGCCAGGACTCAAACCAATGCCTTGTTACAGGCAGCAGCTTAGCCCACTGTGCCACCATGTCAGCCCATGTTTTTTAAAAATTGTTTTTTATTTTCAGGGTGGTGTTGTTGCATAGTGGATTAGGCCAGCACTTGTAATGCCAGCATCCCATGTTGGAGTGGCAGTCTAACCACTCAACATTTGATCCAACTCCCTGCTAGTGTGCCTGGGAAAACATTGGAAGATAGGTTAAGTGTTTGGACCCCTGTCATCTACATGGGAGACCCGATGGAGTTCTAGGCTTCTGGCTTTGGCTTGGCCCACTCCTGGCTGTCGGGGCCATTTGGGGAGCGAGCCAACATATAAAAATCTTTCTCTCTGCCCCTTCCTCTCTCTTTGTCATTCTGTCTTTTGAATTAATGAATAAATCTTTTTTAAAAATTATTTTCA